CATCATGTGCCCTGCCGTGTATCCAGTGAGGAGGACTCAAAGGCTGGCTACTAAAAGAATTACTGTTTGACCAGAGTCTACATCAAAGTGTAGCTTCAAAAGAAATGAAAGCAGGGATTGAAAAGCATGTGTGCGAACCCATGTTCTTAACATCCCTGTCCTTCTCCATCCCCTCCTCCTCCTTCTCATCATCATCACTTTCCAGTGCTTGGATCCAAGGTCTAAAACTCTAGGCAAGTGCTCTTCCACTGATCCGTACTCCCTGGCCAGAGCAACATAATTCATGATAGCTAAAGGGCAGAAGCAACCCAAGGTAGGAAACCATAAGGGAAATCGGGTGTCAGTATACAATTGACTGCTATTCAGATTTAAAGGGAACAGGATTTAGATGTATGCTACAAGATGAATGAACATGGAAGGCATTATGCCAAGTAGAGTAAGCCAGTCACAAAAGGAGAGAGATCTATAGCAATAAAATATGATGGTGGTTGCTGAGGCCTTGGAAAGATGAGAATAGGGAGTTTGTGCTCAATGGGTACAGAGTTTTAGTCGGGAAGATGAAAGTTCTACAATTTCACAACCATTGGGGCTTACATGACAATGTGAATGTACTTGATGCCACTCAACTGTGCATCTTCAAATGGCTGCAGTATAAAGTTTATGTTGTTCCTATTTCATCACAGTTAAGCACACACACACACACACACACACACACACACACACACACACACACACACGTTGTCTTCAAGGAGTTCTAAAATCAGCATGGAAGAGAATGAAAGTTCATGATGACTACCTGGTATACAGAGTTGCCACTTACACAAAGGCTGTAGAGGTGCCCTGTGCAGCTCAGATGGCTGGACCTTCCATCTTTATGCACAAATAGGTCTATGAGCCCATCAGACACAGGAGAAGTGTCTCAGACTCATCTGACCAACTGCCTACTTGACAACTTTGCTATAAATGGAATTCTTAGGCTGAGGAGGTAGCTCAGTTGGTACAGGGGATGCCTAGCATGCCTTGCTGTGGGGTATTCACCAGAGACACCTCAGATATGGGTTTAAGCCAATAGAAAGTCTTTATCAGCCAGCTGGTGACTACACTGGGTGTTCGGGATCTCAGTGTGGCACCCAGCATTTCTCAGGATGAGCTTTTCTACACAAAAACCATGTTCTGGGTTGGTACACTTCAGTAAACAAGAACAGTTAGTCGAAGCAGATCTACAGAAGCCAAAAAGCAAGGTTAGTACACTTAGGGACTTTCCCAGAACTTTGGACTTTAGATTTTTGTTTTAGTTTTGACAGGTGGTGCTGTGTATGTGCTGAGTTTTATAGTCTGAGTGGTACTCCCATCATGGGGTTAGTTTGCTAAAGTCTGGGGGCCTACCAAGGTCTGGGGCCCTGTTACATGCATGAAGCTCTGAGTTTGATTCCCCACATGAAACCGGGCATGATGGTACATGCCTGTAATCTCAACACTCCAGGAAATTTCTCCAGAAAGATCAGAAGTTCAGGGTCATCCTTGCTACACAGAAAGTTTAAGGTTAGTTTGTGTTACATAGACTCTTTCTCTAAAAGTGTGTGTGTTTCAGGGGTGGTTGTCTGTTGGGAACAAAATTTGTGTGGTTTTGTATGGGTGTGTGAATGTGGGAGCTCCTGCACGAAGACAGTGGGTATCTTCCTTCGTTAATTTCTACCTTATTATTTCAGTCTATTGCTGACCATGAAGCTCACCAATTGGCTAGGCTGGCTGTCTGTCAAACTCCAGGGATCTACCTGTCTCCACCTCCCACCCCCACCCCAACTCCTCCATCCTATGCTGGATTTACAGAAGTAAGTCATGGTGCCAACTTTCTTACATAAGTGCTGTACAAATGCAGGTCCTTATGCATTCATGGAAGATATTTTATTGACTAAGTCATCTCTTGAGGGTCTTCCCCCACTACACACACGCGCACACACACCCCAAAATAGACTTTTTACAACCCAGAATAAGAATTCCCACATTCTTACAACTTTTGAGGTCATCTTCCCAACTCTGCAAAAGAGCTCCTTTTCTAGTTGCCCTGAGCAAAATTTTGCCTCATTTTTTATATCCCCCCCATGCCCTACATCTTTTTACTAGTGAGTCCTCTTCTTGTGAACATGGCCAGAACTTGATGGCTTCTCACTTGCTCTACCACCATGGTTTTCTGTAAGTCTGGATTTTCCAGAGAAGCTGAACCAATAGAGCTGTCCTGTACATACGCCTTGTGCATTGTAAGGAATTGGCCCATGCATTTATGTAAGTTCTAAGAGTCCACTCAAAAGACTGGAGACCCAGAAGATGTAACCATACAGTTCCAAGCTGATCCTGAAGGCTAGAGGATCAGGGAAGCCAATAGGAGAGTTCCAGTCTGTGCCTAAGTCCAAAGACAAGAAGACTCCAAGGTCTCATTTCAAAGACAAAGGAATTGACTCTTAGCCTTTTTGCTTAATTCAGGTATAGGGTGCAGTTGCATTGGAGAGAGCAATTTGCTTTACTGAAGTTACCAATTCAGATTTAATCCCATCTAAAAATCCCTCTCATGGTCATACCTAGAATAAAGTCTGGGTACTCTGTGACTCAGTCAAGTTGAGGCTTAAAATTAAATGCCCCTGTTTCCTAACGTATCCATGCACTTCTCTCTTTGTCTTTTAATCTATCCTCAGCAGAACCGTGGAGGGTGGAAAAGCCATGGCATGATACGCTTCTGCTAGAAATTCTTCAGCGTATCACACCTCGGTGGAAGCTGAATGGAGACCATGAAGACCACATGCTCTCTGTCTGTCCTTAGCCCCCCCTCCACCAACCCCCCATTACCCTACCCTTTGCATCCCACCCGCACTGATGGCTCTCCAGAAGGCAAGTATGGTCCAGCTTCAGGGTCTTTATGTCTGCACCTTCCTAGGTCCCAAAGGGCCTCATCAGAGACCACACAGATACTGCTTCATCTCTCAGAACACACAGCACCCATCATCTTTGTCCTAGTTCTGTTTCAAATAATCAGGGTTGTGGGTCAGTGGTAAGACACTTGCCTGCCACGCTTAAGGCCCTCGGTTTGCACACCAGCACACGTTTAAGGACTATTTTTAGAACAGTTTTAGATCTACACACACACACACACACACAACTGATGTTACCCCATACATTCCTGTTCTTCTCTAGGTTTCCCTTCTATCACAACCTTTACATTCACAGATTGACCCTGGCTGATAAGCAGCCTCCCTACTTCATGCTAACTAAAGGTCACATGCTAGTCACAGGACCCCGGCGTTTTGTTTTCGTTTTCAAGGATTTATTTCTCTTTTTTATTTTATGTGCATGAATGTTTTGTCCTCATGTACTGTGTGCCTCGGCAGGCACCCACAGAGGCTAAGAGAGGCACTGGATCTCCTGGAGCTGGAGTTATGGATGGTTGTGAGCCACCATGTTGAGGCAAGAGCATCAACTGTTGGCCTCTTTGCTTGTGTTATCTCCATTTCTCCCCAAAGGGACCTTTTTTAGTCTTCTGGTCCCCCTCTACGGTAGCAGTTTACTTTCCCCCCTTTGTTTGTTTATCACCTTTCGGCAGGCATTTGGTACAGGGTTGCAGATGCCTGGATTTGGATTTGTGCTTGTGGAGGCCAGAGGCAACCTCAGGCTCATGCTCAGCGTGTCATTTACCTCCTTTGAAAGCAGGTTTCCTACTGGTGAGGAACTCACAGATGATTCAAGCCTGGCTGGCCAGGCAGCCTGGGTTCTAGGGAATCTAACTTAGATCCTCAAGCTAAAGGGCAATCACTTAACCCCGGACCCACCTTCCAGGCCATAGCTAAGGAGATGTAAAGGGTTTGATGTGTCCTTCATGGTAAGACTGGGGTGTGGAGGAGAAAGGCCTTAGGAGTCAAAGTCCATCTCCACCCGCATTTTTTTATTTTTTATTTGTATTTATTTTATTTTTTTTTTATTTTTTGAGACAAGATTTCTCCGTGTAGCTTTGTAGACCAGGCTGGCCTCGAACTCACAGAGATCTGCCTGCCTCTGCCTCCCGGGTGCTGGGATTAAAGGTGTATGCCACCTTCGCCTGGCTTCCAGCTGCATTTTAAGAGCACACATCCTCAGTGTTCTTTCTGGCCGTGAACACTGGATGAAGTGCACGCCAGCTCTGTGTTGAAAAAAGCTACACCCCCACCCCACCCCACCTTTTCCTGCTACCGTTTATTGGGGGCAGCCCCTTCTCAGAGCGCAGATACACGCTTGGTTTCCATGAGAATGGAGTTGCGGCCTCAGTTACTTGAAATCGCTCTGCCTGGGAGCTTGTCCTTCTGGCCTCACCATTTGTGGATTCACATTAGCTGGATAACTTCGGGTTACTCTCCAGGGCCAGCTTGTCCCTGGAATCCTTCTGGCTTTGAGCACCCTGACTCTTTCTGTTAGTTTTCTCCACGTTTGTCAAGCCGTTTCCCACCTCCTCACCGAACACCCCCTTTCTGTTTCTGAGTCTCCAGTATGGTGCCAGGAATATTCATTCCTATGGGTGCCCCACTGACAGCAGGCAGGAAAGGGCTGGTGAAAGGCGGGGCTCCGTGTGTGTCAGTGATCGGCAGCCTTCGCTGGGGTCCTTGCTGGCGCAGCCACACCCTCGCCCAGAAACGGTCTCTAGCATCCTAGCCTCGGAAATGTTCTGGACTGCAAATGTCATCTGCACGGGTGGGGTTTCCCCGGGGGAAGTCCGACGGATCCCGCCCTGCCCATCTCAGCATCCCACAGGGATGACGGAGGGAAAACGGAGGAAGGTCCCGGGTGATCCACACCGCACACCCCCCACCACCACCGCAACATCTGGCGGCGCTGGGGCGGGGAAGGTGGCTCGAGCCTAGGTCCCCGGCATCCCGAGGCCAGGCGTGACGCGTGGTGTCGGATCAGGAAGCTGCGCGCCCCGGCCGACGACGTCTCGGGGCGGGGCCCGGCCCCCAGCTGTGCGGCCGGCCTCGGAGCGCCCGGGGGCGGGGACAGCGGAGTCCAGATGCGGTCGGGGCGGCGCAGGGCTCACACCTCCGCCGAGAAGCGCCGGGAGCAGGACCGCGGGGACGCGCGCACCCGGTTTCCTCCGGGCGTCCCGTCGCTGGATCAGCGCCGCGCCGGATCACGGTTCGTTCTGTCGCGGGAGTCCGCTTGACGCTTAACTTTTTCAGCATCCAGGACGCGGGCGCGGGGGCTGGCTGGGTGCAGGGACGGTGCTGGCCCAGGTCTGGGATGCTGAACAGCGGCAGGTGGGTTTGGGGTGTGGTTCTCTCTGGGCCTCTAGGTGCCTTCAAGACGAGACTTTTGGGTTTCTCGCCTAGAGCCGAAAGCTTTTTAAATGTTTGAGAGTGTAACGCTTTGTCAGAGGAGCTTGAGAAATGACGACTACTGACTTTATAAAGCAACCCGGGGCAACTTTTGTTTGCAGTGGAGAGGCTGAGTTTTGTTTTATTCTCTTTCGTTGAATGGAGGCGCTTTTTTTTTTTTTCGGTTTGGTCTCCACTTTCTCAAACACATCAGAATGGGCATTTCTTGACTTGAACTTGACAGTATGACTCAGGAGCCAGGAAAGACAGGAATATCGATACCGCCTTGAAACAGCTTCCACAGAAGACCCTGAGGAGTTGTTTTTAGGAAAGAGACGCGATGGTTTTGCTTAGCAAGCCACGCCACGGAATCCCGTGGGCTTCTTGGCTCCTCGAACACCAGCTGAGACCTGCGTTTTACTTCCTGTGGCCCCCACACTTGTTCGAGCCATTTCTCAGCAGAGGGAGGAGCTGTTGTTTCTACACGGGGATCCAAAAATGAGTCACAAGGCTGCTCTAATTGCGAGACTTTGTTAATAAGCCTTTGAAAAGTGAGGTTGGATCCCTGCACTTATTTAAAAAAAAGACCAACAGTTGAGAAGGTACTATCAAACAGGGATAGGCAGCCTAGGAAGTAACTATTCAAGTTTTCAGTTTCCTAAAGCGTCTGATGGGACAACATGCCAGCCAGGGTCACTAGGCTGATCTGAGATAACCCTTAAAATCATGTGCTTTGCCACAGAAGCTCAACAAAAAATTAATTTCAGTATCCAATAACCACTTGGTTGTTCTTTTCACTGCTTGGTAGGAATAGGACATTTTGAGGAGCAATTGATAGTAAGTCACTCTGAAACTAAAGCTATTTCACATAGTTTACTTCTACCAAATTAGTGCTTTAAGAAACATTTAGATGCTTTCGAAGGAGGTCAATGGCTGTTGGAGCCAGACATTAAGATGGTAAGTCTCATGTGTCTGGATAGTGGCTCTTAGAAGTGGCCACAGGAATAACTGTACCACAGCTGAGATGATGTCAGCCCGAGACAGCAGTTATAAGGCTCCGGTCTGTCCCAGCCTCTTCATCAAGCTCCATGTATAAGACCATGGACACAGTGCCATCCTGGCAGGGCTCTGTAAATCTATACCATACCCAAGGGAGGTGCCCCGCTGTGGGGTGAGTTGAAGCCTTGAGATTCAGAGTGTCCTGGGTCATTGCTGGGACAGCAAGGGAAGGCTTGAGTTCCGGTTGCCTACTTGTCTTTGTAGGCAGCCTATTTTTCATTCAATATGTGGTTTAGAGGCATATTAGTGAGGCATGGTTTTCAAGTGTTCAAATTCACCATGTTTCATGTTACTTAGTAGCCGTGTGAGGGTAAATGCAGCCCTATTATCACTCCTGGGTGGCTGTGGCCACTCTTAGTTATGTGTCCTTTTAAACATGACTAATGAGTGTTTCATAACTGTACATTGACGCCACTTCTGCTTATGGGTGTATACAATTATTGCTCCTCATCTGAGGGGCTTGACTTCCATGGCCTTAGCTACCTGAGTTCTGATACATTACATAGAAAATTCCAGGGATAGTAATAGACTTCGATTTATTTTATTTGAGCCATGGTCTCACTGCGTACCCTGGCTGGCCTGGAATTCACTATGTAGACCAGGCTGACCTAGAACTCACGAATGTTTGCCGGCTTCTACCTCCTCCTGAGTGTGCATTGTTCAAGTGTGTGCCACCTCACAGGCTGGTAAGATACTTCAAGAGAGGGAGTACATCCATACCGAATTAATTACACCTTATTGTTAATTGTTCTCCCATTAATTCTCATTTATATCTCACTGTGAATAATTTATTAATTTAAACATCATCTTAAATATGTGTGTACAGGGAGTAGCATAAATAGGGGTCAAGCGTTCATCAGAGTCTCTTGTGCAGGATCCCTGAGGATTAAGGAGGACCAAACATCCCGGTCCTCTGGGGTATAGCTTGACTAGTAAAGGACAACCGCGCAACTTAAAACAGCTTCAATCTCTACATTTCATCTTTCCCTCCACAGCAGCAGAGTCACGTCTTCTATAAGAAAGAAACGATAGCATGTGTTAGGCATTGCGTTCCTGAGCTCCGGCACGGGTTTGGCTCATGATGGTGTAAAGAAGGTTTTTTTTAAAACAATGAACCTGACTGTAGATGACGGTTGCCCAGGAACTGGAGGGGCGGATGACCCAGCAGAAGGAACAGCAGTATCATGTGGTCAGGGAACTCCAGCTCATTCCCTGGGGGGGAGGGGAGAGAACAGCTGAGGGGAGGGCAGAAAGACACAATGACAGGATCACAAAGGCCCGTGTGGCACATGGGCTCCAGGACGTTATTCTGTGGGGCCTCTGAGAAAACAGCATCATACATGTTTAACACAGAGCAGAAACTAAGGAGATGGTTCAGTCGGTAAAACGCTTGCCACATAGGCATGACGATTGCGGTTTGATCTCCAGCACCCATGTAAAAGGTGGCCCAACAGCTGTCACCTGTTATCTAAGAACTAGATAATTGGAGACAGAAGATTCAGAGACTTGCTGACCTTCTGGTCTACCTGAATCGATAAGTTCCAGGTCCAGTGAGAGAGCTTAGGCAACCATGTCAACCTCTGACCTCCACGGGCATGCCGACACATGTGTACCCACACACACGAGAGATGTACACGCATACACATGAATAGACACAAACACACCCTAACAACAGATTGGCTGAGAGCTGCATGGTCCTAGGGAGAACACTGCAATGTCGGGATGAGAACTCGAACGAGGCTAGAACGAAACAGTGGTGAGGCATGGAAATGAAGGACGGCGCTGATAGAACTCACGTGTGTAACACGCAGAGCGCAACTGCCTCTTGACAAGTGGGTTGTGAGGGAGGGCGGGAAGAGTTAAGATGACGCCTGTAATTCTGGTTAATGACAGGAAGAGGAGCATCCTACCCAGTGGAAAAGTTGCTATAAGCTGAAGGATGGTGAAGCGTGCACTGGTCCATGCATTCCAATGTTTGGTCCCTAGCTGGTGGATCTATTTGGGAAGGATTAGAAGGTACGGCTTTATTGGAGGAGGCGTGTCACTGCGGGCGGGATTTAAGGTTTCAAAGGTCAATGCCACTCCCAGTTATCGCTCTCTCTCTCTCTCTCTCTCTCTCTCTCTCTCTCTCTCTCTCTCTCTCTCTCTCTCTGCCTCATGGTTGTAGATCAAATGTGAGTTCTCAGCTGCTGTTCTATCTAGCACCATGCCTGTCTGGCTGCTGCCACGTTCCTCACCATGGTGATAACGGAGACTCGGGTACCTGAAGAGTCTCAGGGCTCTGACCCACAGAGCTGTTTCTTAAGCACTGGATGTTCAGCATTTCCTCTTTCCTTGATGTGTTTGGTCAGAAGAAAGACTGGCAGGGCCCCGGGTACTAGTCAACAGGTAGTGGGTAACATGGTTAAAGAATCACCAACAAATGCAGTCAGGGACTACATTCCTGGCTTATGATCTGCCAGCTGATGCCTATTTCATCTTGGTTGGACTCTAAAACAGATATTCGAAGACTCTCACGCAGTGAACAAAATCTGCTGTGCCCTTATCCTCTTGGCATTAGCTCGGCAAATGTTACTTTGTGCTGAGATCCTGTTTGTATTTGCTGCATCTGAGCAGATTCCATTGGTCCCGACGAAGTTATTCTCATCCCTGACCAAGTCCAGCCTGAAGTACACCACTCTTATTCTTTGATGATCTTATCTTGGGTAAAGACTTTGGTTTTTGTTCATCACAGTATCGGATGTCTTGACTTTGGGCCCTTTAAAGATATAAACATTGAATTACTGCTATGTGCAAACGTAACCAAATGTTCTGAGTTTAAACCTCTACAATGTCCAGACATATGCAACTTTGTGCCTTTTGGTGTTTTCTTCCTATGTGAATTAAATCTCTTGATGCCTCTTTAGATTTTATCAGGAAATTAATAGCCGCCGGCTGCATGGAGAGCAACACAGAGCCTTCTCAGACAATACGACCCACCTGTCTCTTGGTTTAAATTCCTACAGCTACCTGTGGTTCTCTCAATAGAAAGTGAAAGATTTGCATCGCGGTTTCATGTGGGTCCGCCTTGCTTCCTCAGTTCCGCTGGGAATTCCTTGAAAGAGGAGGACGGCTATGGTTGACTTTGGCAGGTTCCCTGGGAGCCTACCCCTTCATCTCCACCCTCACCCCACCACGGTCCCTGCCCCTGCCCCCATTCTATCCGTTCTGTGGCTTTTTCAGAAAACAAAGCCATCCGTCAGAGTGAGCAGTTGTGGTCCACTCTCTGAGCCTATGGGTCTTGGGCACCAGCATGCGTCACTCAAGTTCTTTGTAAGGGTTACTAATGGTGACTTTTACGTCAAATTGGTTGGGGGGGGGGGGTTGGAACTCTAGTTGAGACAATGAAATGTCTTTAGCATTCTCTGAGGGCGTTCTCCTTCCCAATGACTACTTAGGTACTCTGGATCCAAATCTCCCAATACAGTATTTCTTTTTGTGTACTGGACTGTTCTATGCATCCCTCCGTTCAAAGATGCAAAGCAAAACTCTGCAGAGCTTGTTGGTTAATGATGCGGAGTCCAGCTTTCAGGATTGGTGGAGGAAACAGGACTTGTTCTGGCTCCAGGATCATGTCTGAAGAGCAGCAAGCCTGCCTCTCCTCCCAGCTTTATTCCTCGCTTTCTGCTCACACCCATTGGGCTAGTGGCCCACAGTCAGATTTTGGATAAAGTAGGACAGTTTGTGAGATGAATTCCATAATAGCACTACACTGCCCAGCCG